CCCGCGGCGGCAGGGCGCATGCGCAACAGCGTCCCCGCCGCCGTCGGGGCTGGGGCTAGCGGCGGGGCGGCCCGGTTCCCCGGGGCTCTTTGCCGCCGGGCTTGCGGGCAGCCGGGTGTGCGGAGGGGTGCGGGTTTTGGTGCTGCCGTTCCCGCCGAGCTTCTCAGGCGAGGCCAACCCAAAATCACTGGGAGACATGAGGCGGGAGGGAAAGGCACGGCCTCCGCCGCTGAGGTGAGGTGGCCGAGCGGCGGGCGCGGCCTGCCAGCGGGACTGCCCGCCGGGGGCGGGGTGCCGGGGCTCCCTTGTGCCTGGAGACGTACAGCCGCGACTCCAAGAGGTGAGAAAGCTTAAAAACGCCCTTGGCCCCCCGCCCCGGGGGTCGCCTGGCCCGGCTGCTGCGTGTGGGAGACCCCAGGCCGGTGGCTTGGCCCAGACCGCCCCCCGCTACGGTTACATGCGTGGAGCTCGGCTCTGAGGCACAGGTACTCAGTGCTATAGAAGACTTCTGTACCCTTATTTTTCTACGCCATAGCAGTTTCTGTCAAACCCAACCTAAACATTTGTGTAGAGAGCAATTCTGCCCTCGTGCACTTACTGTCTTAAGTGTCAACATCAATACTTACCTGTTGCCACGTACCCATCCATCTAACTGTAGTGAAATCAGTTTATCTAACTGTAGCTAGATATTTACAGCTCAGATGTAAATATTTTAGGTGCCTAAAGTGTGTTTGTTAGTACTCTCTTGCTAAGTGCTACAGTGCTGACCTTTAAATATCGAAAACTAAGCATCTGAGTTAATACCCAACCATTGTCACTTCTCAGAAATACAGCTGATGGTTCTTTGCAGGCCCAGACATCTCTTCATCAGCTTATATTCCAGGTGAGATTTTCAAGCCGTCTTTAAGAACAAAAATAACCAGAGAAGAACGGTAGATAATAGATAGCTAAAACATTTTTTTCACGGGTCACATGCTTACTAATTTGTCTAAGGCTGATGGCATTTTGTAACTTCGAGTGGCTGTGTTTATTTCACACACGAGGATATTTCCCTGATACTATCAAATATCTCCCACATCATCATTCACACCGTAACTTTATGCCCACCAGTCCCTCTGTATGACAGTACCCACCTAGCTCATTCTCCCAGCCTCCTACAATTTGAATCTCCATCCTTCACCTGTAACCTCCCAAGGCTCTGTTTAACATATTCTCCCCTTTCTTAATCCCTGTTGCCATGGTCATTTGTGCTGTTTCTCTAATTCAGGTCTTTGTCGTTTCCTCATTTCCATCTTTTACCTCATTCTATTCCATAGCACGCTGTCTCACAGCC